AGAACTCGTTTTTTTAATGCATATGTCAACACCATTATCTGTTTCCTGCAGTCTCAGTACTGCAACACTCTGGACGACGAGGAGAAGAAGGAGCTGCGAGTGTTCAGTCAGCAGAGGAAGAGAGAGAACCTGGGCCGAGGCGTCGTCAGACTCTTCCCTCTGACGATGACGGGCGCCATCTGCCAACAGGTAGAGCAGCATTTCGATTTGAAAATCCCTCGTAAAAATCCCTCGTAAAGATGTGTCCCTGTGATCAACATCATGCACGCAAGGGAAAGCTTTGTAAACACATAGATGCAGAAGGAGGAACTTTTGATTGGCATGTCGGGGCAGGAAAGGCTCAGGGGAGGAAACGATTAAAGGGCTGTGAAGGAAAAGAGCTGCTCAGTTCATCATTGGTTAAAGAGATAGTTCAAAACACTTATTTTACCTCTTAACTGCATTGCTTTTCATCAAACAATGTTTATTTATACAGCCCAATATCACAAGTGTTACATTTGTCTCAGTGGACTTCACAGTTTGTACAGAATATCAATATGCCTCTGTCCTTAGACCCTCACATCGTACAAGGAAACACTTCCAGAGAAACCCCCACAGTTTAAAGGGGAACATGGGAGAAACCTCAGGGAGAGCAACAGAGGAGGGATCCCTCTCCCAGGACGGACAGACGTGCAATAGAGGCCGTGTGTAAATCAAAAAGATAATACATTTACAACATAGGTAGACCAAATGTTTGGAAATGCATGTGTCTGTAATAAGAAGATGAATCCACGAGGATGTCAACAATCCTGTGGGAGCCATCAGGGAAGTAGTATGATGAGAGTCAGGCAGGACCACAGAGACAGGCTCAGACACGACTCGAAGTCCAGGACTCAGATCCAGAACTCAGGATAGAGGATCCAGGACTCAGGACCACATAAACAGGATTAGCCTCGACTCAGGATCCCGGCGTATATATGGACACAGAAAAGAGATTTGGGGGAAGCTGGGTTAATCAAAACATGAGAGTACACAGGTACAAACAGCCTGAAAGACGGAGTAAGGTGCCCCCCCCCAACAGTCCGAGCCTATAGCAGCTAAACTAACGTGTCTACATACACGCACTCCCTTAGGATAGGCACTCCCTTAGATCTATCGTAACAGCTTTAGTGTGAGGTGCAGAGGGTTAGAGATATCAGCTGAATAAATGTCTCTCCAATGCAATGGAATAGCGCTGCTAGACAAGTGGTAAAAATAACAAATTAACATTCTTTTTGACTGGTATTGCAATAGAGATAACTCCCCAAAAAAAAACACAATAAAAGGGTTAAAATGGAAGAAACTTTGGGGAGAGCAACAGAGGAAGATCCCTCTCCCAGGACGGACACATGTGCAATATATATCATTTATATAGATGAAACAATCCAATCCCCTCTCTTATATCACCTCATACGTTCCAGGTTAAAACCAACAACTAACGGTACATCTACATCTAGGGTGTCCAAACTTTTTTCACGAGGGCCACATACAGAAAAATATACGAAGGGCTGGGCCGCTCACTAGAGGAGAGGTATATCGCCTCATAAGTTCAGTTGAAAATTCTGTAAGAAAGAAACAGCTCACATCTCTCCAGAGGGTTTACTTTATTGTGTTAGCAGCTCATGGTTTAAAACAGGAGCCTCAGATTGATTATAATAAGAGGAAATATGAAAGGTGTAATTCAATGTTGTTATGTAAATGTGTTATTGGGCTTCTTTATTATCGACTTACATTTCTTAGAACATATTTTCAAATTTAATCGACTGAATTTATTTGAAAAGTGGTCTTATTAACAGATGAATACTGAGTTATATATTTAAGAAGTACAATATAAGACAAGCAGAAGTTTATTACACTTAAGTCATTATCCTTTTTGAATTTGCTGAGGGCCGATTCAAAATGGTCCGCGGGCCGCATTTGGCCCCCGGGCCGTAGTTTGGACACCCCTGATCTACATTTATAAAACAGCTCTACTGGTGAGAGGAAAAGTGTGTATTTTGGGTCGACCTGTCGCCCTCTAACTTCCGTCCCCCGGATCTTTTCCAGTGTGGCCGTCAGATCTGCGGGGGGGACATCGCGGTGTTTGCCAGCCGCGCGGGGCAGAGCGGCTGCTGGCACCCTCAGTGTTTCCGCTGCCACACCTGCAGCGAGCTGCTGGTCGACCTCATCTACTTCTTCCAGGAGGGAAACATCTACTGCGGGCGGCACCACGCCGAGAGGCTGAAACCCCGCTGCCAGGCCTGTGACGAGGTGAGGGCTCAGGGAGGGAAAGTTGTATACACAGGGGGTCCGCGGGGTCTTAAAAAGTATTAAAAGTTGATAAATCAATTTAGCGAAAATGAAGGCTATTAAAAATATTAAACGGCATTTTCCAAGGTATTACATTTTGTAGCTTGTTTTCAATAAGTATATAAATGGTCCAAAGAGGTTGTATTCTACAGTCTGCCTGAATGTAATCATTGCGTAGGTGTGTAGTGTGATTCTGTGTAGTTTATTTATGGCATCCCGTTGGATTTGACGTCATCTGAACAGGACATCGCATGCTCACTGCTTGATAGCGCGCGAAGCTCCGTTTACGCCGGTTGTTAAACAACATCGTTATGGGGAAATGCAAGTTTGCGTCCAAATGGTTGGAAGATAAGGAGGAAGGACAATCAATACTGTATATGGTCAATGTGAGGTAAAGTGTGTCGCCAAGGTAACCGGTTAGAACTCAAAGTGGCGATGAGGTCTTAAAATGTAAGAGACTTTAATCTCAATGGGACTTTTTAGCTGGTTAAATAAAGGATATATATATCAGGGCATATGCAGGAACCCTGAAGTCAAATGTAAGACCTTTTTTGAGCGACCTGGCCAAGAAGGGCAGTATGAACAAAGTTACAACAGATAAAACAGACAATCCAGGCAGACGAATACAGCGGTCGTAAAACACAAATGAAATGGCACAGGAACCAGTCAATATGCAAATCAAATAAACTATAAATCATTAAAAACTGGCACAATTGATCAACGACTTCAATTATGTGATACATTAGTTCATTTCTCCAGGCTACATGAGCACACGACACCCCCTGTTGGTGAGAGGAGGTAACATATGACCTCTGTGTTACTATGAGGACGTATCCTAGCCCCCGTTATATATCACCATCTTGCAATCAGCTTTAATCTAGCTCTAAATATGTTTTTACCAACTAAATAATGTACGCAGCTCGCGATGTAACTAGGAGTCTAGTGGACGGTATCAGTACTACAAGTACCCCGGGTCGCCATTTGCCCATCCCTGATCTAAATGATAGTTTCTGCCATTGAAAATATAAAATCTCAGGCTCTTCCAACAGCACAATATACTTAAGACATAAAAGTAACATAAGTAGACTATACAGTACATGTGTAAATGGAATAAGATATACAGAATGTAAATGCAATACTGCGTGTCATAAGTTACTGCTTATGGTAATAATATATAAATATGTTGGCTGTTAACAGAAGCTAAAAAAAAAAAAGCAAGAGGTGTTGCGTCGGAGGATTTTGATTCAAATATCTGCAGAAAAGATCCTTTAATGCAGGGGTGTCAAACTCAATTTCATCACGGGCCACATCAGCATTATGGCTGCACTCAAAGGGCCGGTTGTAACTTCAAGACTATATAAAAATACATATATAAATATTGAATATATATAAAATAATGTATTATATTACATGATTGCCTCTGGATTGGATTATTATCGGATAGGGTAATAACTTCATAATTAACTACGTCTGAAAGCAGAAGTCTGGGGCAAACAATTGCAAGTCTCTTCAGTGAGAATGCCACAAAATGATTTAAAAAGAAAAGCCACATTCTGGAAAATCAAAACAAAATAAGCGACATTTTGAAAAAGAGAAGTGATATTTTGAAAAAAAAAATTTTTAAGAAAAAATGCATATTTTGACGAAAGTCAAATTCTGAGAAAAAAATGCATATCTTCAAGAAAAAAAGTCAAATTCTGAGAAAAAGTCAAACTTCAGATGCATTGTGGGACATGTAGTTTATGGGCAACGTGCTTCTGTAAATCACAATGTAACCCTATAATAAACATTATAATCTTTGCAAGCTCTTGTGGGGCCGCATGAAATGAAGTTGCGGGCCGGATTTGGCCCCCGGGCCTTGAGTTTGACACCTCTGCTTTAATGTATCCCTAAATGTATCCTCGGGCCCTTTCAGGTGATTTACCACGACTGTTTTATCACTCTCTTAGATCTGTGCATGGTTGAGAGTATTTGCAGATGTCTCCGGGGGGGTTTCCCTGTTTCTAACGGCTCTCAGACTCAAGAGCTTAGCACACGAAGTGAATGGATCTGCAGAGAGTGACCTTTTTCATCCTGTTAACCCAAATCCTCAGCAACACTTTTCCTACTGATTTGTTTACTTCTGTGAGTGTGAATCCTCACTGACCTCCCTCTGTGTGCCCCCCCCCCCTCTCTTGTGTCTGAACCGTAGATTATTCTGGCTGATGAGTGCACGGAGGCCGAGGGTCGGTACTGGCACATGAAGCACTTCTGCTGCTTCGAGTGTGAGGCGTCGCTGGGCGGTCAGCGTTACATCATGAGAGAGAGCCGGCCGTACTGCTGCGCCTGCTACGAGTCGCTGTACGCCGAGTACTGCGACACCTGCGGGGAACACATAGGTACTGAGTCAAGAATAAAGAAGCTCCTGTACAAGGGATTGTGTTCAGCTAACAGACAGTATCAGGCAGGTGTTTACCTCAACTT